TTAATTTTCAGTGAGGCCTTATCTGGCACCCTATTTAAATCACTTGTTTCCACTCAAGCACTATTCCTTTTTCCTATTTTATTTTTCTTCATGGCATGTATTGCCACTGAACATACTATATGTTTTAGTTATTTACTTTATTGCCTGTCATCTCTACCTTCCCTCAGATGTAATCTGCACAAGGGCAGAAATTTTGTTCATGTATTCCAGGAAACTAGAACAATGCATATGACATAATAGTCACTTAAAAAATATTTGATGGGGGATCCCTGGATGGCTCAGCGGTTTAGTGCCTGCCTTTGGCCCAGGTCGCGATCATGGAGTCCCAGGATCAATCGGGCTCCCGGTATGGAGCCTGCTTCTCCCTCCTCCTGTGTCTCTGCCTCTCTCTCTCTCTCTCTCTCTCTCTCTCTCTCTATGTCTATCATAAATAAATAAATAAATAAATAAATAAATAAATAAATAAATAAAATAAATCTTTAAGAAATATTTGATAAATAAATTAATGAAGTAAATAATGGTACAGAAAAAAAAGTAGATATGAAGAATAAGTTTGGCTGCAAAGAAGTAGAGAAAGATATTGTTGTACTTAGAGGGGAATGTGGGGTCTAGGGAAGATGGCATGTTTTTGTTTGGTAGACTGTGGTATTTTCCCTTTTTTCCTAATGTCTTATTTTGATAAAAATGATCAGTTCACAGAAAGGGAGTCCAGGAGGTTCCATTTACCCTTAACCTTTCCCTAGTAGTGACTTCTATATCTACAGAATTATAGTACAATATCAAACCCAGGAAGATGACATTGGTATAATATGTGTATGTGTGTATATACAGTTTTAAGTCATTTTATCACATGAGCAGATCTACATCTGCAACTCTATAACTCCAGTACAATATCCAAACCACAAAACTGACATTAGTATAATATGTGTATATAGTTCTATGTTACATTATTTCATCAAACTCTTAACAAAGATCTCCCTCATGTTCCCTCTCCCCAACCCCTAACTCTTGGCAACCACTAATTTGTTCTCAAATTTTGCATTATTTTGTCATTTCTAGAGTGTTATATAAGTGGAATCATAGAGTATGTGACCTTTTGAGATTGTTTTTTCCTACTCAGTGTATGCTCTCAAGATCTACCCAAGCTGTTATGGGTACCAGTAATTCATTTCTTTTTCACTCTGAGTAGTACTCCATGGTATGGATGCTCCACAATATTTTTAGCCATCCACCTGTGGAAGGACATGTTGGTTGTTTCCAGTTTTTGACTATTCCAAATAAAGCCGCTATGAACATTGTATACAGGCTTTTGTGTGGATGTAATTATCATTTCGCTGGAATAAATGTCCAAGAGTATGACCCCTGAATTGTATGATAGATGCACATTTAGTTTTTAGAGAAACCATCAAACCGTTTTCCAGAGGGCTATACCATTTTACATTTCTCATGGTTGTTTGTTTGTTTGTTTTAAGGTGGATGATGTAAAGCAGGTTTATATGTTGTAGGCCAGAAGCCAGTCACCAGGATGGGGCAAGATGCATGGTGAGGACAGGAGGAGCAGAGTCCTAAGGAAGCAAAAGCCCTTGAGGGGAAGAAAGGGACATCCCTTGACTGATGGGCACACACTATGAGGAAGGAAAGAATGAGGTCAGACACAGGTGGCTTTATAGGTTTGGTGACAGGAACTTAATGGCTTCTCTTCTCACTAGTAAATAGAGAATGAAGGCAAGTGCTCTGAGATCAAAGGGCTTTGAGGTCAAACAAGGTTGGGAGATGCTTCTCCTTAATGCTGCATCCCAGGTATGAGCTTCTTAAAAGTTTTTTTAAAAGATTTTATTTATTTATTCATGAGAGAGAGAGACAGACAGACAGACAGACAGAGGGAGAAGCAGGCTCCATTCAGGGAGCCCCATGTGGGACTCAATCCCAGGACTCCAGGATCACATCCTGGGCTGAAGGCAGAGCTTAACCGCTGAGCCACCCAGGCGTCCCTCCTTAAAGGTTTAGGAAAAAAATCCTAGGGTGAAAAAGAAAACTGGCCATACTCTATGGCTTGAACAAGTGGATTTATGTAGCAAAGGGTTAATTTTTTTGCTCTCCACATATATTTCTAAGCCCTCCCCTCAGCTGTCCAGAAGACAGTGAGCTTTGCACACTCCTTTGGGAGGCTCTGGAGTAGAAATGATAGCTGCCATGGAACATGCATGGGCTTTTACCCTTGCCACCAGAGACAGAAGCCCAGTTATGTGTGGGATCAGAGTATTGTGATCAGACTTCTAGTAAGATCTCCTAATATTTAAAAAGTATCCCAATAGGGATGCCTGAATGGCTCAGTTGGTTAAGCGTCTGATTCTTCATCTCAGCTCAGGTCTTGACTGAGGTCATGAGTTCAAGCCCCAGGTTGGGGTCCATGTTGGGCATGGAGACTACTTAAGGAAAAAATAAAATAAAATAAAAACTATCCCAATATAATTTGTCTTATGCGCTAGTTATGCCAAACTGATATTCAAAAAATGAATTAGCATTCTTATATGAATTCTGGATTTATTATAAAAGTGGTACTGCAGAGCAGTGGAGAAACAACAGTCTTTTACATAAATGAAGCCCTTTGATCTCAATGAATGAAGTGGGGCTAAGTGGGTATGTGTCTGGGGGGAAAAGTGAGTTTTGACCCTTACTGCACAACAAACACAAAAATAATTTCCAAGTAAATATGAAAGGTCAAACAATAAAATCTGTGTAAGATAACCTAGGAGACTATTCAGATAAACTTGGAGTGGGCAAAGATTTCTTACTCAGGGTACAAAAAGCAAGAATAATAAAGGAAAGTTGATAGGGACGCCTGAGTGGCTCAGTGGCTGAACTTCTGCTTTCAGCTCAGATCATGATCCTCTGGGGTCCTGGTATTGAGTCCTGAATTGGGCTTCCCATGGGGAGCCTGCCTCTCCCTCTGCCTGTGTCTCTGCCTCTCTCTCTGTATCTCTCATGAGTGAATAAATAAAAATCTTTTTTAATAATAAATTTTTTTTATCGGTGTTCAATTTGCCAACATACAGAATAACACCCAGTGCTCATCCCGTCAAGTGCCCCCCTCAGTGCCCGCCACCCAGTCACCCCCACCCCCCGCCCTCCTCCCCTTCCACCACCCCTAGTTCGTTTCCCAGAGTTAGGAGTCTTCCATGTTCTGTCTCCCTTTCTGATATTTCCTACCCATTTCTTCTCCCTTCCCCTCTATTCCTTTTCACTATTATTTATATTCCCCAAATGAATGAGACCATATAATGTTTGTCCTTCTCCGAATAAATAAAAATCTTAAAACTTTTTTTTAAAAAGGAAAGTTGATAAATCCAATTATATTAAAATGAAGAACCTCTGTTACAAAGAGACATTAGGACAGCAAAAAGGCAAACCATGGCTTGGGAAAAGATATTTGTGATGCATGATTTGTGTCTGGAATAAATAAATATCACCCATCAATTACGGACAGATAGTGCAATAAAACTAGGCTCTGGGGCCAGACTGTCTGCAGCTACCTCACAGTGTGCTTCCTTGTCTCCCTTTCCTTATCGTAAGGCGTGGATAATAGTATACCCACCTTCAGGGCTTGCTTAGAGAATTAATGGACACAGACACAACTCTTTTTTTTTTTTTTTTTTTATGATAGTCACACAGTGAGAGAGAGAGAGAGAGGCAGAGACACAGGCAGAGGGAGAAGCAGGTTCCATGCACCGGGAGCCTGACGTGGGATTCGATCCCGGGTCTCCAGGATCGCGCCCCGGGCCAAAGGCAAGCGCCAAACCGCTGCGCCACCCAGGGATCCCCAGACACAACTCTTGAAGTAGAATTTTGTACATTAAAGGGGCACGACAAAAGGTAACAATTATTATGTGCTCCCCATGTTTTCAAAGAGGTGAAAGCTTGCTGCAGAGTATTGAGTGTATTCCCATCATCAGAGTGCCCATCATTGATGCCCTGGATGTGCTGGGGATCACATTTCCTATTACACGGCAATCATGTGTGCACACACATGGCTATGGGAGGTGTGACGCCAGCGGGTGACCCACCCCTTCCATAGTAACTGAGAGGCATTCCGGCTGAATCACTAAGGACCACATGATCTTGCCTGTATTCCCCTTCACCCTATAATTCTGACACCTTTGTGATACCCTTACACCAGATCACAGTATCAATTGCATAATCACACAATTCACTGCTTCTACCAGTGTTTTATTTGACAGTTTACAGATATATTCAGAATTCCTGGAGAACATTTTAGGCTTGCCCTTACCTTGTTAGGAATTTGCGCTCGTATAGGTATTTATCTTAAAGGAAGTGCTTTTCTCAAATTTACCATTTCCCTATCGAAGTGGGAGAGTGAGGTTCTTGTCTCACAATAGAGTTTTATTAAGCAAGGATACAGAAAAAGCTCTCAACAGTTACCAGTGAAGGCTTTTCCCTGGCAGTCTTTCATTTGGAATTGACCAGGAAACTTGTGGCCTTACAACTCTCAGGATGTCTTTTGTTGAGGAAGGATTTATGGAAACATCTTTAATGATTAACTTCTCCTTTGAAGTGTGGTCATTTTCTGTGGTCAGGATGTAATTATTAGAAAAACATTTTAACCCTAGCGATTGGGACAGAGCACTCTGATTTTTCTTCCCAATCTTTTTGTTTGTTTGTTTTCTTCTGTTTCAGTGCCTGCATACCTGAAATACCCTCAGAGCTTAGTTGGGGTCTCTATTCTTTCCCTACTGGAGTCCCATCCTTTCCCTATTCAATAGGGATGGTCTTGTGAGTCATTGTTCTCTCTTCTGGTGGCACGGACTTAAGCTCAAGGCACCTGTGCCAGGGAAGCATTTTCCTTGGCTGAGGTTCACCAGGCAATTTTCTCCAAGTTGTGTCATCCAGGTCAGCTGGATTTCATTGGCATCACTTGTGCAACAGAAGCACTTGTAAAGCCAGCATCTCTCTGGCTGTTCTAATTCATTTCTCTTCACTCCCTGGGAGGTGACCTGTGTAAGCAGGAAGCGATCCTGAACAAGCAGACCCACATTTAGTCAAGTGTGGTTGTGGCTCTTGTGGGTAAGTCTCACCTGAGCTACTTTTTAAAAATGCAGAGTTTTTTTTTTTTTTTTTAAGATTTTATATATATATTTGAGAGAAAGGGAGAGTACAAAGGGTGAGTGAGAAGGAGAAGCAGGCTCTCTGCTGAGCAGGGAGCCCAACCTAGGGCTCGATCCCAGGACCTTGAGATCATGGCCTGAGCTGAGGGTGGGTGCTTAACTGACTAAACCACCCAGGCACCCCAAAAATGCAGATTTCCAAATCTTACCCTAGAGTCTCTGAATCAGAATCTCTGGGATGGTGAGTTAAATGTTTGCATGAAAAAAATATCTAGGTGAGTCTGAAATTTAAGAACTATGGAAAATGTATATTTCTGAGTTCCACAGAATCTGCTTCTAGAGTTAGAAAACCAATGCCCAACAATCCCAGTAGAATACAGTCTGTGCAAAACGGAGGCCAGCTGAATCTACGGATTACATTCAGGGAGGATGAATATGTGAAGTAGGTGGACGAACATGTGGAGCAGCTAAGAGTGCTCTCCACTGATGCAGTCAAGAATTTCCTAGAGCTCCGTGTGCTCTGTGCTCTCTTAAACTGAGATCTCCAGATAGAGAAACTTAGTTATACGTTTATTCATTGGTAGAATTGATAGGATGAAATAAATCTATTTTTTGAGTCATTCCCTTTTGAGAGGCAGGGCAAGAGATTCCCTTAGTGTCTTTGCAGGGTTGGCCTTCTTATGTCCCAGAATGCAGAGAATGTGGGAATCTATCAAGGCTGCCTCGAGGAAGTGGCACACCTAAGGTCTAAATGCACATCATTCCCTCTCCTAAGCCTATGCTCCAGGCATCGGGCGTGCCTCTCTAGATGCAACTCTGTTTCAGCGTGGGCAAGGAGATGGTTCCAGTCACTGAGGATGTTCAGAGAAGTGGCTCCCAGGGCACTCCTCACTCTGAAAGCCCTGGCTTTCTATTCTAGGACCCAGTGATTTATCAGACCTTGTGCAAGTCATTTCTCTTCTAAATATTCCATCTATGACAACTGGACTTTGCCTACGCATTTGATAAGAACTGATAAATGATTCAAAAATAGGCTGTACAGAGCAACAAAATCAAAATATGTGTTTTCAAACCATCAGAGAGTTGGGATTCAGACCCTGATCGTGATAGATACTCTTGGGCTCCTGGGTGGCTCAGATGGTTAAGCATTTGCCTTTGGCTCAGGTCATGAGTTCCCTGGTGGGCTCCCTGCTCATCAGGGAGTCTGCTTCTTCCTCTCCCTCTGCTCCTGCTTTTACTCTGTCTCTCTTTCTCAAAAATAAATAATCTTAAAAAAGAAAAAAAAGAGGTGGATTCTCTTCTTACACCTAGGGAGTATACTGATCATATCAGTCTATAGATTCAGGTAATTCTTCACTTGCATGTGAACCCTTAGGTTGAAGGTTCTTCTAACAATTCTGCTTTGGTCATTCCTTTTTTTTTTTTTTTTAAAGATTTTATTTATTTGTGAGAGACACACAGAAAGAGACAGAGACACAGGCAGAGGGAGAAGCAGGGGGCCCAAAGTGGAACTCGTTCCCAGGACCCTGGGATCACACCTTGAGCTGAAGGCAGAAGCTCAACCACTGAGCCACCCAGGCATCCCTCTTTGCTCATTCTTGAGTCTGTTCACTGACCACTACCAGAAAACCTAAACTCAAGTACATAGAATTGCCTTGGGGTCCTGTAAAAAATGTGGTTTCTGATTCAGTGGTTCTGGGGTGAGATCTGAGATTCTGCATTTCTAACAAACTCTCCGGTGATGCAGATGATGCAGGTCCATGGGCCCCACTGAAGAGCAGCCTTGCTTAAGACACACTGTCTTATTTCTGTTCTTCAGGGAGCTGTTTCTGAGACTGTGGTCCCAGCTCAATGAACTGATAGCGGGTGGGGCAGATCAAAACCCAACACAAACAATGCAGGATCGGACTTTGCTCTCAGCAGCTCCTGGCATGAATGCTGTGTTGGCTGCTAATGTATCATAAAATCCTCTCCCTTTCATACCTGATTCAGGTCTTTCAAGCCAGCTAATTCTTTCTCTGGGAAAACAAATTTGGAGTTCTAGCCTGTCTGCTCCCAGCCATATCCTAAACTGGTGACAATCATCACGACTGCTGTTGAACATCTCCCAAAACCTCAATGGCTCTGTGGTGTCTGGATCCGATGGTGATTTTTTTATCTTTATTTTCTAGTTTTGCCCATTGAGCTTTCTGTTCCCCATTTATCCCTGGCTCTAATCACCCTTTTTTTGGCTAAAGTCTCACCCGAAGCCACTGACTTTTCTATACCTCCCCAGTCATCCAGCCTGCCTAGCAAGGGGTCTAGTTTATAAGAGCCAGGTCTCAATGTATCTATGCTCAAACTGGTGCCACATGACTTTTTAAAAAAATATTTATTTATTCATAAGAGACACCCACAGAGAGAGGCAGAGACATAGGCAGAGGGAGAAGCTGGCTCCCTGTGGGGAGCCCAATGTGGGACTCATCCCAGGACTCCAGGATCACGCCCTGAGACAAAGGCAGACACTCAACCACTGAGCCACCCAGGTGTCCCGGCCACATGCCTTTTAAAGAAGGTCCTTGCATCCTTTTACACCTGTAAGCTAAGAGTAGAAAAGGCTGATTGTCATCTCATAATCATCTTGGTTAGGTCTAGGATTTTCCTCCAATAATTCCCTGTATTGAGGGGCCTGGCTGGCTCAGTCGGTAGAGCATGCTACTCTTGATCTCAGGGTTGTAAGTTCAAGTCCCATGTTGGAGATGGAGATAACTTAAAAAAAAAAATCTTCAAAAAAAAAAAAAATCCCCAACCTTGATCTTGGAGAATAATCTTCCCATGTAACATGAGTGATACTCCTGAGGAATGCTGTATGTAGGGTGCTTGATTTGTTTTTTCACCATGCCCTTGTTCAACATTTGGACCATCTCTATATACTTTCCAGAGACAAACTGTTCTCAGTCGTTGAAATTTCAAATAAAGTCCTTTTTCTAATAAAATATCAATGACTTTTAAAAAATGTTTTACTAGAGTTGTCAATATGTCAGATGTATGCCTTCCAGAGTTTTCATATTTCAAAGATTTTTTTTTTAAAGTTTAATTCCAGTTCAGTCTCCACAATTTGGATTAATTAAATTTAAGTCCTTAGCCATTCAGGCACTGTATATTTTCTGTGGAACCACCCACAAACTCAAGTATATCAGCAATTCCCAAATGCCAGCTCTCAGCTATCAGCTGGGGAACTCAAGGGACACACACACACACACACACACACACTCACACTCACTCAGGAACCTACCTTCCTTTCTCTCTTCCCTCCCCCACAATAGATTCTGGTTTAGTTTTTAAAAGTTCACCAGGTAATTTTGACCATCATCCAGGTTCAGAAACTAGTGGGATGGTTCCTTGAGTCTATCTATCTATCTATCTATCTATCTATCTATCTATCTATCTATCTATCCTGTTTTCTTTATTCCAGAAAAGACTTAAGATACCGACTTAATAAAATACAGTATCTTAGGAAACTAACCATTTAAGTAAACAAAAAATTGATAATGATTTAATTTTCACCTTCTTTCCCATGATTTTGGGTATTCCAAATTTCCTCGGCATGTATAATTACGATGATAATAACGTTTAAAGAGTACATTTTTATGGATAAAAAATTGACCCAGTGACTTGTCACAGTTGCCCTGTCTACTTTTTTATACTTGATAAGTTATCAGTTAACCAAATATCTTTATTTTTAGGCTCTGTTCCCTCAGAAGACTAATGAGGCATACTTTTATGGCTACAACTTTACAGAGTACTGGTAAGATGCAAGACCTCTAAAGTTCTAAGTTTCTGTCCTCTATGACCTGACAACTTCCCTGCCCCAGAAGAATGACTCCCATTCTACTTAGTTAGCAGTGGTATATGTAAAATATAAAAAGGGAACTTGATTGGAACTTGAAATTGAAATGTAGCCTATTAGAATCATAGAATGAATCTGAATTGGAAGACCCACTTAACATCCTTTGTCCCCCTCACAATCACACACACACACACACACACACACACACACACACACACACACACACAGTGCCCTTTGTCCTTACTGCCAGCGGATTGCTTCCCCCTGGTGGTGAAAATAGTTATACCATTTCAGTTTTCAAAAGTAATTTGAGGGCAGCCCCTGTGGCGCAGCGGTTTGGCGCCGCCTGCAGCCTGGGGTGTGATCCTGGAGACCCGGGATTGAGTCCCACGTCGGGCTCCCAGTGCATGGAGCCTGCTTCTCCCTCTGCCTTGCCTCTGCCTCTCTCATTCTCTCTCTCTCTCTGTATTAATAAATAAATAAAATTTTTAAAAAAAGTAATTTGAGAACATCTAGGGTGGCCCAGGCGGTTAAGCATCTGCCTTCCACTCAGGTCATGATCCCAGGATCCTGGTGATGTGGGAGAGTTAGGTTCTTGTCTCATGGAGGCGAAGAATGAATCTCACGAACTACGGAGAGTGAGTAAACTGATAGAAGTTTATTAAGCAAAGATATAGAGAAAGTTTTCAGAAGTGAGAGGGGTCCCGACAGGGTTGCCAATGAGGGCTTATAACATTGGTCTTTTATTGAGAGCGTAATCAGGGAGCCTAAATCCTTTTAACATTACCTATTGACATCACCATTGCGTAAGGACTATTGAAAACATCTTTAATGGCTTACTTCTTCTTGGGGTCTGATTATCCTCTGTTGGTCACGAGTAGCTGTTACAAGACACCCTCTCAACCCACACCTTTTACTGAAAGCTAATCAGGGAACCTAAATCCTTTTAGCATTATCTTTTGATATCACCATTGAGTAAGGACTAGTGATAACATCTTTAATGGCTTACTGCTTCTTGGGGTCTGGTTATTCTTTGTTGGTCACAGATGACTGTCATAAAAAAAGATACCCTCCCCGCCCATACCTAGGGTGGGCTAGTCTGGCTTGTTCCCTTATCTCTGGTTTCCTTACACCTCAGCATTTTTGGGATTTTTGTGAGCCTGCTTCTGCGGCCCCCTACCTAGTGCTGGCTAGCCCATTTGTCCCTAACTCACTAGAATTGAATCCCTCATCAGGCTCCCTCACTGGGCTCCCTGCTCCAAGGAGAGCCTGCTTCTCCCTCTCTCTCTGCCTGCCACTCCCCCTGCCTGTGCTCTCTCTCTGTCAAATAAATAAATAAAATCTAGAAAAAAAATTCGACTTCAGGTCACAGTTTATAAATTTTTACACACCATGAGTTGCTTTGACTATGATTATTACAACCTATGCTTTTATGACAATAACACATAATATCAATGCTAAACCAGCCCATGGTTTTAACAAAGCAACAGTTATCTACAGGCAGGTGAAGCTCATTACATCTCTAATTTTTTTTAACTCACTGTTTCAAATGAAACAACTTATCTCTGTTTATAATATTCCTATTGTTAAGAAATCTTACAGAAATGCAGGTAATTGTTATAAGTCAGCCCTTACCACGCTAAGCATTATAAGCCAGGATGGTTAAGTTTCTGGAAATGGCAAATTGCCACCTTGTGGTTATAGCCTTAGTGACAAAAGAAAGCATAACAAACCAAAGGGATCTGGACAGTTTACAGCCAGATCCAGGATTTGGTAAATGGTTCATGCCCAGAAAACAGTTCATCATTTTGAGGCAGATTGCTCTGAAGAACCTCAATGAATTTGGACTCATTTTGAAATAATCCTTTAGTATCCTGGAGAAGGTAGATATAATTATACCTTTTTCTTTAAGAAACTACTTTTATACCATTTTCAAAGGGTGTTTGTATATACTGATTACTTTTATCTGGTTCTTTAGCAACTCTGTGAGGTATACAGGGAAAGTATTAGTATATCTTGTCTTTTTTTCTGGTCGAGGAAAGAGCACACAGCAAAAACAGTCCCAGAAATGGGAAAAGAATCAGTTGTCCCAGTGTTTGTGAAATGCTTCAGATTCAATATCCAGTTTTTGGCTGTCCATTACTCGGTTGTCCCACCCACAGGATCTAATGTAACTCATCCCAAATTGCTCCTTCTCCTGGATTCCTATCCAGGAGGGTTAATGCTATCACCATCAGTAGCCTCATCAAATGAAACATCTGGGAGGCCTCCTGGAACCTTCTCCTTCCTCTGTCCCCACTTGCAACCGACAAGTCTTATTGGTTTTCCTGACCCTCCTCCACATGCTGTTACTCCCCCACATTACTCCCCTAGAGCTGCCATTACAAAGTACCACAGCCTTTGGGGAGCTCAAACATCAGAAATGTATTTCTCACAGTTCTGGAGTCTAGAAGTCTGAGGTCAAGGTATCATCAGGGTTGGTTTCTCTCTGAGGCCTCTCCCCTTGGCTTGGCTGTCTTCTCTGGGTATCTTTCACAAGATCCTAATGTGTGTCCTAATCCTCTCTGCTTATAAGGAGGCATACTAGGTATATTGGATTAGGGCCCAACCTAATGATCTCATTTTAACTTAATTACTGCTTTAAAGATCTATCTCCATATACAGTTATATATTGAGGTCCTGGGGATCGAGACTGCAATATAAGAAATTTGAGGATGTCCCAATTTAATTCATAACAACTCTTTTAGATTTCTGAACTGGTTGAGGGCTGCCTTCTCCTACCCTTCACTTTGCAACATGTTTCCACCTGCATCTTCTGCTCCAGTTTATTATTTACAGGGATCTTTTAATATGAATCTGATCGTGCAAACTCCTCTGCTTCTAATCCTTTGATCAAGTCCATGTCCCCTCACAGGGTGAAGGAAGAGCTCTGGCATCCAGCCCCACATTTTGCACCTGCCTCCTTCTCTTCATGCTTCTTTTTTTTTTTTTTTATTTATTTATGATAGTCACACAGTGAGAGAGAGAGAGGCAGAGACACAGGCAGAGGGAGAAGCAGGCTCCATGCACCGGGAGCCCGACGTGGGATTCGATCCCGGGTCTCCAGGATCGCGCCCCGGGCCAAAGGCAAGCGCCAAACCGCTGCGCCACCCAGGGATCCCCTCTTCATGCTTCTTGGCCTGCACTTGACTCTCACTGATGCACTGTGACAGGGCCATGCTGTTTCATGCCTCAGTGCTTTTATTTATATCCACACCCTTATTCCAACAGACCTTTTTCTCCACCTGCCTACCTTTTCCCCATTCTTCAAAACTCATAGCAAGCAAATGGGCATGTTTTCTAGTTCCTACAGGCCAATCACAGCTCTGGCTTCCAGAACAACTTGTTTGTATGAGTGTATCTTGGGGTGTTATGAGGGATGGATATAGGAAGATCAAGATCACTTACTGTTGGTACAGTTTGTCAAGGAAATGGTGATCTGGCTCTGACATTAGAAACTCACTACTCCAACAAGCTGTCCCCTGTACTTTGAGAGGTGTCAGCTGCCCTAGACTGGGTGGCCTGTGTGAACCTTCCCATAGACACAGTCTTCTATAGACAAATGACTTTCTTCCCATTTATGGCTGGCTGTACAGGCATTTTTGTGTTGTATACATTTTAGCTTTGGCTTGTACCTGTGAGGCTGTTAATTTGTGGAGATGCTCACTTCTGTTTTCTTTTACCTACCCTTTCTCTATCCCCAGCCCAGATGATTGTGGGACCCATGTCTTTTTGCCTCAGGAGATTTGTAGCAATGCGGAGAGAGAAGGGGAATCACACTGACTTTCAGTGCTCTAGGTTTTCTAGGTTGTGAATTTTGCCAACACATCTGCTCACAGGTTCAGTCAGAGAAGTGGCCCGCTTTCACATTTTAGCCAGCCCCAACCTCATCATAAAGGTGAATCTTTAAAATAATATCATGTGAGATCTTCCATACTAGCAACGTTATTGCAAACTTTACTCTCACTCCAGCATGTGATTACTATTATTGATTTTGCTTACAAATCCTACCACTGCCCGCGTGAAGCTGTGTCAGGAACCAACTTTGTCCAGCCCCCAACCTCATGTTATAATCAAATGGGATGTTTGTGTTTTTGCTTCCTGGTCTGTAAACTGCCCAAACAATGCCCTATTCATCTTTGTACCCCCAGGACCCAGTGCTGGACACATAGTAATTCTCCCAAAATATCTATTGAAAATAAAGTTAAAATAATCCTATTTATGGGTGGATAGGACAAAGGCAACCCAAGTAAATATCTTAAAGTATTTTTAGTGAGAAGTTTTTGTCACTGGAGGTAGAGAGTGGAGGTGAAGGTACAGATAAAAGAAGATTAGCGATGGTTTGATCATTATTGAAGCTAGGAAAGGAGACTGCATTATAGTAGTCTCTCTGATTTGAAAATTTCCCTTTTAAAAAGTAAAAAGCCCCCCCCCCAAAAGTCCATTTTATAAACAGGCATGAGAAAGAAGTGTTAATGTTATAATGAAGATGTTCTGGAAAGTTTATATTTTGCATTTTGTCACAATGGCCCTTAGTTGAGGAACAATGGCAGTGACTTCCATGTCTGGTGGGGAGAAGCCCGGAAGAGGATGTCACTGCTGTGGCTAGTCAGCCCTTGATGGTGTCACAAGTTTCCCTAGGATAAAACCTTCATTTAGCTGCAGAGGGAACAACTGAGTATTAAAATGATCATTGTTATACACTAGCCTTTGGCTCAGATTTGGCAAACAGATTTGTCTTTAATGATAGTATGAGTAAGGGATTGTAGAATCTGATGGGATTGTCTGAAACATCAGACCTGGAAATTTCCACAGCAGGGGGATGTCATGAGATTTGATACTGAGCTAGCCATTGAAAGTTATAAAAAAGAAAACGACATGGAAATAAAAAAATAGGCTTGATATTTTTATGTGATGAAAGGAGAATGAAAATAAGTACACTCTACACTATTTGCGATGAGAGACACAATGATAGCATATAAAAGTTATGGTGTTGGGACATTTTGCTATATCATGGATAAACCTGGAAAACAGAATAAGTCTAAGAGCCTAGTCATAAAACTGCATATTGTGTAAATCAGTTTATAAGAAATGTCTAGAATAAGCAAATCCATAAGACAGAAACACATTTAGTGGTTGCCTACACTGGCCTGGAAGAAAGGGAGAGGAATGCTAGGGTACTTGGTCTCCTTTTAGGGCCATGAAAATGTTCTAAAATTGTGAACATTGTTGCACAACTCTGTAAACACTCTGAAAACCATTGAGTCGTATACTTTATTAATTAATTTTTTGAGTTGTACACTTCTATGGCTGTAATTCCTGGTGTATAAATTAATGCTTAATTAAGGTGTTAAAATGTTGGGATTCTTGGATAAGAGGTTTCTTTTTTCTTAATTGTCTTAATACATTATGATGTAATTCATTACATTATCTTTTCCACAGACAATCCACAATGTATGGTCAGTCATAGTGCAAATCCAGTAAGGATGTATCCCATTCACCAATGAAAATGAATTTTTGTTAAAAGAAAACTCCAGAGAATATGTTTCTGATAAACTTCAAAATCGAAGACTCTTAAAATTAAGTTCAATCCGTTTTTTGGTGAGTGCTTGGCAATTAAGCACCAAAGGAAAATGGCGTCTTGTTTGGTTTTCTAGCCGATGCCATATGGTCTGCCAATGCCATCTTCTCTCTTTCCTCTGTTGCTTTGTCAAGGATGCGCTTGGCAAGGAGAGTTCTTATACTAGTTGGCCCTCCAGGGTAGATGTGAGCAGTGGTCCCTAATCTCAATTGGAACTTAAAGCTGCCTCCCCAAACAGTTGTTATTTTAATGGCAGGTCCCTTGCAGGTTGTCAGGTGGCAAAATGTTATGGAATTGACTTCTTTTACTTCTGATTCCTGTAACCACATATCCAACTTGTTGAGCATTTGTTTCTTACCTATAAAATAGGTACCATGGTAGTAGCTACCTCAAAACACAGCCATGTTGATTTCAGGGCTGGAACCCGGAAAGCACAAGATAAGCCTAGAATCTTGCTGTGCCACAGGTAAAGAAATGCTCAGTGGATACATCAAAAGGAGTTACCAGAAGGCACTCTCACTGGTCACATTTGGGACAATTTGAGCATCAGAATAAATAATGAAATAGGAATGGATAATAAACTATCCATACCGATAAAAATAGGTGAATAAATATATAAATAGATTCTACTTTACAGTAAAATGCTAACTAATCCACATAGAAGGAATAATGGAATTAGGAAAAGAACCATTTGGTAACCATCGTAATAACTGATTTAGGCAGGAAACATCAACAGATGCTAAAACTAGTGGGTGAGAATTTGAGGGGGAGTAAGCTGTTTACATAGTCTCAAAATATCTCTCAAAAAGATATTATTTTGAATGGGAAAGAGAGTAACCACAGTGGAGAAATCTGACAGTATCACTCTCCAAGTGATCGAAGTTAATACCACCAGTAATAGGACAAAAAGATACCAAATACCTTCTCTAGGATGTAGTGAGATGGTGACAACATCACATCAGAGGTAATTCCTGCCGAGAATGCTTAGCTAAATCTAAGGAAACCCAAACTGAGGGAGAGTCTATAAAATAAATGTCTTGTGCTCTTCAAAATATGTCAAGATCATAAAAGACAAAAAGGACTGAGGGATTGTTCTAGTTTAAAGGAGACTAAAGAGATGTGATACTAAATGCAACCTGGGTGTTAAAAAGAAAACAAACTACAGAGGTGCCTGATTGGCTCAGTCAGCTAAGCAACTGACCCTTGATTTTAGGTCAGGTTGTGATCTCAGAGTCCTGGGATTCAAGCCCCGTGTCGGGCTCCGTGCTCAGGGGCGAGTCTACTTGAGGATTCTCTCTCTCCCTCTCCCTGCAGCTCTCTCTCTCCCTAAAATAAAAAAACAAATCTTAAAAACAAAATGAAACAAAAAACAAACTGTAAAGGACATGAGGGCAACCGTTGGCAAAATTGAAATAAGATCTGTAGATGAGATAACAGAACTATCAGTGTTAATTTCCTAATTTTGATCATAGTACTGTGATTATATAAGAGAATGCCTTTAAAAAATGTATTTTAAAAGATTTTATTTATTTATTTGACAGAGAGAGCACAAGCAGGGGGAGCAGGAGAGGGAGAAAAAGGCTCCCTGCTGAGTAGGGAGCCCAACATGAGGCTCCATCTCAGGACCCTGGGATCATGACCTGCGCTGAAGACAAATGCTCAACCAACTGAGCCACCAGGCACCCCTAAAAAATAATTTTAAACGAAATACACACTAAAGTATTTAGAGATGTTAAGATGTCTGCAACTTACTCTCAAACACTCCAGCCAAAGTTTATGCACACATATACCTGCACACACATGCATATGTGCACACACATAGTGCACAACCATATGCACACACCTACACATGTGCATACACTTGCACACATACCCACACAGAAGAGGTGAAGAGAGGAGAGAGAGAATATGATAAAGCAAATGGGGTAAAATGTTAACATGTAGAGAATCTGCATGAGAAAGGGATCAATTCATGAATTTCCTAGGATTTTTTTTTCCACTGTAAGAATCTACTACAGTAGAAGCCCTGAAGTTGAGATTTAATTATTTATTTATTTTAGTAATCACTGTAACACAACGTGGGTCTCAAACTCACAACCAGAGATCAGGAGTCCCATGCTCTACTGACTGCAGCAGCCAGGAGCCCCTAAAGTTGGGCTTTTAAAATGGCTCTGCTGACCGCTCACCACAAGGAACATTGCTTTTCAAAACCAAAGTAAAATTTTGAATAATTTGCTCTGGAGACAGAAATCACTCTGACAATATAATTACTGAATAGTGGTTATGTAGGAAGCTGCTTCTCACATGGGCTGCTCTCGCTGAAGATGCCCAGGGTGACCGTGAGCAGGGACAACAAGGTTTCCCTACAGATTGGTTACCGCTCTCTTGAGCAGTACTGAGGAGTTCCACTGGCCTCACATAAGCATCTCCTTTTCCTTAGAATGGACACTTTGTCTTATCTTTCAAAATCTTTAGGGTTGAGAGAATTGTTACAAAAGAAAAAAATGTATTTCATCCTATTTATTCTTCTCCAAATGGCAAAAGAAAACTCACTGTTGTTGTAAAGTTGTTTGTCATTGTTGCTTATTATTTTTTCCAAAACAAAAAACAGTAAGACAAATAATCACATGCCATGTATAAATTTGTTTTATGTAGCTGAGAACTTGACCTATGAACATAACAGAAATGCTTATATATGTAGTTGAACTGGTAGTCGGAATCCTCAAAATGTTGAATTCTTTATGTATACATATGTAATCTTCATCTCACATTACCAAATAGCCCAAATGAAAATGCTGAGCTTTAGTGCCTGCAATGTAGTAGGTGCTCCATTTGTGATAAATATGAACATATTATAAAGCATTAAAAATCACAACATTTTGGAGTGGGAAGGAAAATTAGAGATTATCTTACACAAGCTGGTTATTTTACAAATGAAAAAACTCAATCTCCAATTTCAAAACTGGTAATTAGAGTAAGTACTTCTCAGGGTTCTGGTGAGGATAAAATGAGATAATGCATGTGGAGTACTCAGCATAAAGCCTGGCATGTGGCAAATGCTCAGTAGGGATCAAACGGTATTCATGTCAAGTGGGGACTAATTGTTGACATTGCGGTAGAAAAGCAAATGTGATTATAGGAGCAAAGGAGAGCATGAAACCGAATTTATTTGGCAAGAATTGTATATGTGTCATAATTACATAGTTTTCTTATGAAACTCCACTCCTAGTTTAACAATCAAAATTAAAAGAAGGCGTAGAAGAGGGGAACAGGAGGAGGAGGGGGAGAGGGAGAAGAAATCTTTCATATATAGAAATTCATCTAAAATGCGCACGGGAACTTCTCGGAGTGGCTGTGTCCCTCTCCAGCATCATATCCTGAGATCATGGTTTACTTTTGAGATTCTCTGTGCCTTACCTAGTCTCCTTCTGCCTCTCTATGATATCCAAAGGTGTACCCCGCATATTGTATACGTATCTGAACTCCATGTAGGTGAAGTAAGTGAGTACTTCACTTTCAGCAAGGATTTCCTAAATTATGATGCCAATCTAATGGTGTTGACTAATAACACAATATTTTGCTCATTTGTTTTATATCTAAACCTTATTTATTCTTTTTTTTCAGGAATATTGTTAGAACAGGAAATTCTGGATGGGAGTAACATTACTCTGGTAGGCAGAAAATGTCCCCCAAAGGTGCCCTGGATTGGTTGGGTGGGCCCAATGGAATCACAAGGATCCTTCTAAGAAGGAAGCATGAGGGGATCCCTGGGTGGCGCAGCGGTTTAGCGCCTGCCTTTGGCCCAGGGCGCGATCTTGGAGACCGGGATCGGGTCCCACGTTGGGCTCCCGGTGCATGGAGCCTGCTTCTCCCTCTGCCTGTGTCTCTGCCCCCCCCCCCTCTATCATAAATAAATTAAAAAAAAAAAAAAGAAGGAAGCATGAGGGTCAGAGTCATTAGAGTCACCACCTGTATGATGGAAGCAGAGGTTTGAGGGATGTCATTGCTGGAAAGAGCCACGAGCCAAGGAAAGCAGGTAGCTTCTAAAAGCTGGGAAAGCAGAAAAACAAACTCCCCAAGACCCCCAGCCACTATGGAGGGTGACTTGAAGCATTAGGCAAGAGGTGATTTGGGTGATTTTTTTTTTCTAGGTATGGGAAAAATGTAACCATTTCAATGGGCTCTGGGCCTGAGATTTCACCTCCACACCAATTATATACTTATAGCCCATTTTGGTGACTTTGAAAATCATGCACTTAGTTTTTAAAAAAGGAATTTATTTCATATTTAGACCATCATTAGCAATGGGAAACCACTTAAGTCTGCAATTTGGTGGAAGGAAATAGGAACCTATTAATCACCTTAGTTACTTCTTAAGAGGGAATGGAGAGGTGTCCCCGGGACCCCATGGGACAGGATGTTGTGTTGACACCAGGTGGGCTCCTAGGTGGCAGGTGGGTGATTGCAGCAGAGCCTGGATGTATACAGCTGACAGCTTGGACAGCAGACAGGTGAGCTGGGAAGGACTTGGTTGTTACTCAGGGTCTGAAGCCTGTAGGATGAGGAAAAATCTTCCAGGGACCAGGATCTGGACAGTTGACAGAACATATCATAAATTAATCCAGCCTCAGACAGCCCTGGCTGGCTAGCAGGGTAAGTGGCAGCCTGGGGGACAGGACCACAAGGAACTCAGCCAGTGCACAACCCCCCACCAGCAGGAGGCCAGGGGGAACCCAGCCAGTGCACAACCCCCCACCAGCAGGAGGCCAGGGGGTACTTCCAGGGAGCCTGTGTGCACCTGACCTCCTTTCCCATAATTCCCAATCATCTTCTCTCCCATAGCCCTAGTGCCACCTTCAAGAGTGAGGTTACCTGAGGAACTAGCTAGCCATTTTATCCCAGAGAGGCCTCACATGACCTAGAGAGATGGTATAAATGATCAGGTTAGGTTAAACTGGACTGGGTGTTTATTATTATTATTTTCTCCTTACTCATAAAATGACCAGATTAACTATAGTCAAAATAAAGGAGCTATGTTTTTCTCTGTATGTTTGAGTGATCAGATCATGCAAGTGAACTGTGACCCAGATATCTTTTCCCTTCTTTACCCCAGCAAAACTCTCGAAATTCCATATAGGAATTTCTTCAGCAATAGCCCTAAGAGATGCCTTTCAGACTGAACCTGATTATCTCTATTAACATTATAGCTGCTACCTGATGGGTCGCAGTTTGAACTTTTGAGGTGTTATAGATGATTCTGAAATCCTTGAAAGCTCTGGACTCAAGTTGCCAGGAAGATTCACAAAAGCCTGCACTTTGACTCCTTGGGACACATCCATCTTGGTCAAGGTTACCATCTTGATGAGATCATTCCACTGTCAGAGGCAAGAGTGAATTTACTCTGCCCCTGTGTGGCAATGACCAGGTTGAAGGCTGTAGCCGGGCTAACGTTGTTTGCAGGCACATCACAAGCTGTCCCAGAGTGAATTACCTGCAGGCACTCAGGGAATGAAATCTCAGGAGGGCAGGGACTTTTTGTCTGTGTTCTCTGCTCTATCCCAGCTCCTAGATCAATTTCAAAACCCATTGAATGAATAAATGTACCAAGACTCTCGGATATTTATCATATAATAAACTGTTGCCAGTCTTCTGTGTGATTTATTTTTCAACTGTCAGCAGGACTTTATGTTAAATTTGATAGGACATTGACATTTCCACTTGTTTTCAAGACAGCCCTGCACTCTGTCACTATCTTTCGGATCCATCTCCTATCACGTTCACTAGCCCTTCCAGCCCTGTGCCATCTGCATATTTGATGAGTGACATCCGTCTGCTCGTCTGCTCTACATTACTGTAGCTATGTGTGGGATGGGGAGAGAGGGCTGGAAGGGACAGATGGGCCCAGCAGGGAATCACGAGCAATTAGAACAGAAAAGATGTCATGGAAACCTCTGGAAGCTCAGCATTAAGCAAAATAGAGTAAGTCCAGATCGAGTGTCATTTCAGATGGAGCTAATTTAGAGGATTAGACAACTTTCACTTGGCATGAAGATAGGAGACCTGAGAAAGAATTCACCCCAGGGGCATCGTAGGAAAATGAATTAATGGAATTTTGTACCTGTATGAGTAAGGGTTCTCCAGACAAATAGAATCAATAGGGGAGTGTATGTGTGTATATTTGTGTGTGGCAAAGAAAGAGAGACAGGCAGAGGGAAAGACCATTTTCTTAAAAAATTTTTATTTATTTATTTGAGAGAGAGTGCGAGCATGAATAGGAGCAGAGAGAGAGAAGCAGGCTCCCAGTTGAGCCAGGAAGCCCAACATGGGGCTCTGTCCCAGGACCCTGGGATCATGACCTAAGCCAAAGGCAGATGCTTAACCATCTGAGCTACCCAAGAATTTCTTATGTTTAGAATTGGCTCACACGACTGTGGGAACTGGCAAGTTCAAAATCTGCAGGGTGGACCAGCAGGCTGGAGATCTAGCAGTTGCACTTGGAGTCCAGTGGCAGCTTGCTGACAGCATTCCCAATCCCTTGAGGGAGGTCATTCTTTTTCCTAAGGCTTTCAACTGATTGTTGAGGCCCACCCACAAGATGGAGGGCAATCTCTTTTACTCTCTTTTACTGATTGAAGTATTAATCCCATTCAAAAAAAAATACCTCCACAAAAACATTTAGAATAGCATTTGAACCAAATATCTGGGTACAGTGGCCTGGCCAAGTTGGCACATGTAATTAACCATCATAGTACCATTTACGGGAAACCCAACACAAACAAACTGGGTTTACCTACCTGGTGAATTAGAACATTCTCATCCCTCTGGGTATTCACATGCTTCCAGGCTCTCTGTAATTCCATACCTTGTGCCTCCCCCACATTATTAACTCATCCTGACATGCCCTTCTCCAAACCACTGGAAAAAGTCTACTCATCTTTCGAAGTTCAGATCAAATGTCAACTCTCGGATACTATCTTTCATACCACATCCCATCTGGGAGAAGAAATTCCTTCTTTAGTCCTTTATGCATGTGCTGTTACAGCATTTAGCACATTGCATTCCAATTGCTTGACCCTCAAACAACAGATTAGCAAAGTGGTTACAAGTATAAACTTTGGTTTACCCAATCTCTGTATACTTTAGTTTCTTCATCTATAAAGTGGAAATAAAGTAGTACCAACAATCGGAATTTATAGCAAGGACCCAGTATATGTAAGACTCTTAGAAGTGTCTGGTATATAGTAGCCACTTGAAGAAAAGAGAAGGCAGGTATTTTCATTCTTCGTGGTATTGTTGCTATCTGATGCCTATCTTGTGGAAAGATGAAATGTTTCTGGAGGACAGGGAGGTTACCATATGCCACTTTACATCCCCTCTAATATTATGTGGAACAGAGCAGGGATCTATAGGTATTTATTGGAGTGTTCATTACCTTATATTTGTTGAGTGCTCTCTAATCATAGATATATATATATTCATTCAAAGGTTGGCAACAATATTGTCCATTTCAACCTCATTGCAACCTGGTGAGGTCTTACTACTCCCATTTTAAAGATGAGAGGAGTGAGAAGCAGACATTAAGTGAATTGTCCAGTGTCCACACAGCTGGCAAGTAGCAGTCTCTAACTCCGGGGTCAGTGTGAAGAAAGGGCAGGGATGCCAGGAATTCAGGAAAGCTTTCTTTTCTGATCTAGGCACCGCCCTTCCTCCCTCCACTTTTTTCTTCTTACCTTCCAGAACATGGGCGTTCTGGACTGCTAAGGCTGCACGCAAAGGGAGGACCCTGCTCACACTGCAGAACTGACTCAGGAAAAGGTGTAAGCAGCAGAGGGCCATCAGTATAGGATATCCTCAGCCGTGACCGTGGCCTCTTCAATTTTGGTCTTAATCTCTGGGAGCGGAATTTGACTGATTGCCACCACTACCAAGTTGGCAGCGTGGGCAGAGGCACTGGCCACGCAGATCCAAAAGCACTCTTCATATTGTTCCTCCACCACCACGAAGCGGAACAGCTTCTCCTGGAAGTTGGCGATGCGCTCAGTCAGGTCGTGAAATTTCACGGCGGCCATGAAGCTGGTGATGGCCAAGGCCACGACTCCACCTGCAACCCAAACATCACCCTCATTCGGTGCGCTCCTCGGCACAACTGTACTGGCCGTATGTGAGGTGACATTTCTGTAGCACAGGCAACACACTTGCTTTGGGTTGAAAAAATTTTTAGGGGGACACAATGGTTTTTTTATTAAGTAAACTCTACCCCCAAGGTGGGACTCTAACTCAAGACTCCAAGGTGAAGAGTCACACACACACATACTCTATTGACTGAGCCAGCTAGGTGCTGGGGGTGACACACATTCTAATGTGCTTTTATTCAAAAAAAATTTTTTTTTAAAGATTTCATTTATTTGAGAGAGTGAGCAAGAGAGAGAGCACAAGCAGAGGGTAGAGGGAGAAGTAGGCTCCCCATTGAGCTGGGAGCCTGATGTGGGGCTCAATACCAGGACAGATGCCTAACTGACCGAGCCACCCAGGTAACCTGAAGGTTGTGAGGTTTATTTTATTTTATTTTATTTTTAATTTTCATTTATTTATGATAGGCACACAGGGAGAGAGAGAGGCAGAGACACAGGCAGAGGGAGAAGCAGGCTCCATGCACCGGGAGCCCGACGTGGGACTTGATCCCGGGTCTCCAGGATCACGCCCCAGGCCAAAGGCAGGCGCCAAACCGCTGCGCCACCCAGGGATCCCGAGGTTTATTTTTTTTATCCTTTAAAGATTTTATTTATTTATTCATGAGAGACACAGAGAAGCAGAGACATAGGCAGAGGGAGAAGTAGGCTCCCCAGGGAGTCTGATGTGGGACTCGATCCTAGGACCCGGGGATCAACCTGAGCTGAAGGCAGATGCTCAATTGGTGAGCCACCCAGGCGTCCCAGGTTGTGAGGTTTAAATGAAAAGAAGCCGATCAAAGAGGCCAGGTGCCTCATCTCCTGTTATTTGGAAGGTTCCCTCCCACCCTCACAGCTGTGCTCTACCTCTTCCCCTCCTCCCACAGTGCTCTCTCTTCCTCCCTCCACCCCCCCTTCTCTTTTCTTCTCATACCCCCACTTCTCCTCTTTGCTCTAAGTCCTCAGCCACTCACTCATGCCACCAATTTGGCTCTTTAATGTGACAGAATTCTGCAACTTTCAGCAAAGAGGACACTCATATCCATGAGGAAGTTTGTAGACTAGGGAAGGCTGCGGTAGGCACCTACCTACTTGGAACTCAGTCTAGTAGTGACAGTAGATGTGGATTTCTCTCCCTGAGGGCCTTCCTTACCTGCAAGGACGTTCCATAGGCAGATGCCCCCGGGGCCATTGACTGCCCTATATGGAACCTGGATCATGTTGAGAATGGCAAAGCCCATGCTGACCAGAGCCAGGGCCAAGGCCAAGAAGAGGAGCAGCAGAATTGTCACGTGGAGGCCTGCATTGAGTTCCTTCACCAGGTGGGGGAAGACTGGGGGAGAGAAGACACAGCCAATATTTCAGTGTCAGAGCTGAACTCAAGTTCCTACAGTCCAGGCTTGCTTACCACAGAGGCTTTAATAGAGGGGAATGAGAGCAAGGCAGCAAGGGCTGGGTTCTCAAAAAGGAGACTTACTGAGATGAATTCATGCACCCCAGATTTGCCACTGGTCAGCTGGCCAACAATCCTCTCTTTCTTGCAGAGGATGCAAAATCTTTTTTTTTTTTAATTTTTTTATGATAGTTACACACACACACACACACAGAGGCGCAGGCAGAGACATAGGCAGAGGGAGAAGCAGGCTCCATGCACCAGGAGCCCGATGTGGGATTCGATCCCGGGTCTCCAGGATCGCGCCCTGGGCCAAAGGCAGGCTCCAAACCGCTGCGCCACCCAGGGATCCCTGATGCAAAATCTAAATGTATCCCAGCTGACAATTTAAGTTGCATTGACTTCAAAGCCCTAGGATCTGGTGTGAGCTAATAGACGCCAGCCCCAGATAGTGTCTCTTTAGCAAAGGAGGTTAGCAAGAGAGTCAGCCCAGGAGGGCTGATTGAAAAGCTTTGATCTGGGTCAGAGAGTTGCCTTCATTAAATCAGAGAGGTAGAAGAGGTTTCAGGTACATCTGCAAAGAGTGTAGAAGGGTGGAGCAGAGTGAAGCCTAGACCTGGCATTTAAAGATCTGACTTCAAATCCGTTTTGCTCATTTGCTATAAGTATAAAATTGGATCCTCTAAATACTGCCTCTCCTATCCATCTTTCCAGATTATTGAGTGAATCAAGTGAAGTGCATAGAAATAATAATAGCACTTAATGAGTATTAATAGGAAGCTAGGAGCATCATCTTGGATCCCTCAAAATGACTTGGCAAGGTAGTCATTTTTCCTCTTGTATGAAGGACACTCATGTATGCAGTAGTCTATTATAATATCATTTTTCCATATTTATGTGGCAGATAATTTAGTGACTTATTAACTTGTATCTGTTTTCTCTATATTGGCCACCACATAGTAGCTATGAACAGTAAATGATACAGTATGGCAGATATTGCCTGGGAAAGACTGAACTCTCAAAAAGGCGGCTGTGGCTGTTGCTGTTCTATTGTTTCTCTCCAACTTAGGAAAAGTGAGTGATTCCTCAGAGTCTCAGTTTTCTCATCAGTATAATGGAGTAGAAATAGCTGTGTATGTACCGAGGGAATCAACATTTACTGAGCAGTCACATAAAGAGCCAAATGCTTTACATCATTACTTCACTCACTACTTGTGACAAGGATATAAGGTAGATTTTACTTTTATTTTTTTAAAGGTTTTATTTATTTATTCATGAGAGACACACAGAGAGAGGCAGAGACATAGGCAGAGGGAGAAGCAGGCTCCATGTGGGGAGCCTGATGCGGGACTCGATCCCAGGATCCCGGGATCACAACCTGAGCCAAAGGCAGACACTCAACCTCTGACCAACCCAGGTGCCCCTGGGTAAATTTTATTAAACCCATTTCTGCCTAGGCTTGGACATTACGTCCCTTATCTTTGGGCAAGGTGACTCTGAATTCTATATAGGATTATAGGCCCAGATGCCACATGATATATGGAGTTTAGATCACTCTTTTCAGTAGTTACACATGAATTAAATTGACAGAAGCTAAAGAACACCCAAGCATTATCCCCCTCCTCTGCAGCTAATCCAGGGTTTCTACTGAGCACCTCGTGGTCAAATCAGGGTCCATCTTGTGCGTCTGAACTCCCTGCTTCATCATTTGGTGTCATCATTTGATGATCAGCCCCTCCTTGTCCCCACTGGGGAGCTGGGACTCAAAGTTTTCCTGGTTCCCCTTATTCCCCTGGTTCTTTTCTGGCTCAAGTGCCTCCCTGTATTCACAGAAGATTGGTGTCTCCCAAGCTTGAGATTTAGAGTTTTTGTTCTTCTCCCTTTAAAACCCTTTCAAAAAAAAAAAAAAAAAAACCAAAAACCAAACCAAAACAAAAAAAACCCTTTCCACTGAAGTTTCCAGATGCCTCACATTTACATCCTAGTTCTAATCTAACTTTCTTTCTAGTTCTGTATTTCCATGTGTATTAATCTTCAGGTGGTTATCTTGTTAGTGTCAGAAACTTTACCTGAAGTTTCTTCCCAAGGGATTTTTATTTGCAAGGCTTCTCTCCTTTCCTGATGTGCCCTCGTTTTTTTTTTTTTTTTTTTCTTTTCAAACTTTCAGCCCTGTCCAAGAGAACGTTGTGATAGGTGCAAGTCTGTCTCTGACCTGCAGTGGCGCAAAAACAGCCAACATAGGAGGAGCCTGACCCAGCTCCAGTGAAAGTCTTCAAAGAAAATCACAGCCAAGGTGTTGCTGCAAATGGAAGTTTATATAACCTCCCTTGGGACACCCAGAGGCAGCGGGGAACAAAACTGTCTTGAACATTGCCCTCAGAGCTGATATTCAAACATCCTTTATGATTCTCACACGGTTCTGGTGCTTCAGAGAGCAGATCGGGTTAGATGAACCCTGGGTGCTGTCTCTGTACATCCCTCTGGGAAGGAAGCAGAGGAGGGAATGGGACATTTATGGAGTTCCTCCAGTGGGCAAACAGAAAGTGCTCAATTGCTCTGGCTTCTGACGAAGGTGGTTTACTTTCTGTGAGCTGGGATGGCAGGGGTTTAATTGGCTGCTGCCGAGGAAGGGCTCAGTCTTTATCTCCTCTCCTTGGGCCCTCTTCTACTGCAAAGCTGGTGTCTGCTTCAGCTCCTTCTCCAGAAACAGTGCTGATGCTTAGGGATTCCTGAATTATGCTAAACCTACTAGCTGCCACCTCACAGTTTCTAATACCAGTTGAATTGTGCCCTGGCTACCATTCCCCACAAAAAAAAGACGGGTTGAAGTTCCAATCTCCAGTACTTCAGAATATGACCTTATTTGGAAATAGGGTCTTTACAGAGCTAGTCAAGTTAAGGTGAGGTTGTTAAGATGGGCTCAAATCCAATGTGGTTTGGTGTCTTTATAAAAGGGGAAATTTGCACACAGAAACCTACAAAGGGAAGACCATGTGAAGAGACACAGGGAGGATGCCTTGGGAGACAGTGCCACAAGCCAAGGAATGCCCCTGGGATACCAGAAGCTGGAAGAAGCTAGGGAGGCTCCTTTCCCCATAGGTTTCAGAGGGCGCATGGCTCTGTTGACTTGCTGATTTCTTGAGTTCTAGCCTACAGAACTGTGGGAATAAATTTCTATTGTTTAAGTCACCCAATTTATGGTAGTACTTTGTTATGGGAGCTCTAGGGAACTAATACACCCTCCATTTGTTGGGGTGACCACTTAGTCATTTCTTTTTTTTTTTTTTTAAGATTTTATTTATTTATTCATGACACACAGAGAGGCAGAGACATAGGCAGAGGGAAACACAGGCTCCCCATAGGGAGCCTTATGTGGGACTCGATCCCAGGACCCTGGAATCATGCCCTGAGTTGAAGGCAGACATTCAACCACTGAACCACCTGGGCATCCCCACTTAGTCATTTTTAATGGGATCTGTCCACCCTGGATCCTTCCACCCCTGAGAATCCCCATTCATCCACCACCTCCCTCTTACCCTTTGCTGAATTCTGGAAAAACAATAAGGATGACTAGGATGATGCCTTGCTTTGGGAAAGTTGCCAGTCACAAATTCCAGAAGGAGCAACATGATGAAAAGTAGAACTTTGGGGTCAGGCTAACCTGGGTTGGGGTCTGGCTCTAGCATTCAAGGCTCTGTGACCTTCAGCAAGTTGTTTAACCTCTCTGAGCCTTAGTTTTCTAATTGGCAGAACTGTGGAGGATTAGTGTAGCACAGGTCACAAGTTTGGTATCTTGCATGGGAACATTCAGTATAAATTAATTTAAAAGCACTTTATTGTTATTCATTCAACCAATGTTCTTGAGAGCCAGTGTTCTGATGCACTCTTTTGGGGGCTTGAGATCATCAATGAATAAAACAAGATCCTTGCCCTTGTGGCACTACATACTAAAGGAGTGGAGACAGATAATAGATAATAAACATACCAGAAAAATTATCTAGAATGTAAGAAGGCAGTTGTCATGGTAACATGATATATCATGATATATAATTACCAAGGGCTATTTTTATTATATCCCCTAAGTACTATCTTACTCATTAAAGTCTCTGGAATCATGCTGCTATTGACTGTCACTCCCTTGTTCAAGCTTTGGAACTTCCTTCTTAAGGTTCTTTAATCTCAATTAACTATATTTAAAAATTGAGCCTTTTCTCCCCCAATTGTATTTGTGTGTGTATAGTTTTAAAAGAATCCCAAACTTCAGAAAATTGTAAGAATGGTACAAAGGAATTTGTTTTTTTCTCCTGAACTGTTTGCAGGTAAATTTCCCCTGCATCCCTGAGTATTTTAGGGTCTATTTCATTCAAAAAGAGATTCTCTTGGGGCACCTGGGTGGCTCAGTGGTTGAAGGTCTGCCTTTGGCTCAGGTCGTGATCCCAGGATCCTGGGATCAAGTCCCCTGCATCAGGCTCCCTGTACGGTGCCTCCTTCTCCCTCTGCCTATGTCTCTGCCTCTCTCTCTGTGTCTCTCATGAATAAATAAATAAAATCTTAAAAAAAAAGAGAGAGATGGATTCTTTTACGGAACCACAATACCAAAATCAGTGAATTAATGCTGGTACATGACTGCCACTTAGTCCCATACCCTATTCAAGTTCCACCAACTGTCTCACCAAGTGATGTCTTTTATAGCAAAAAGACCCAATTCAGAACCACCTACTGTGTATAGTTGCTATGGTCTCCTTTTGATGTCTTTTATTTTTACTTCTTTATGTGTGTGTTTTTCTGTTTGTGTGTGTGTGTGTGTGTGAGTGAGTAATGTTGTTAACAGCTACCTTTCCAATATCTCTGGTCTAATTTCATTGTTGGGTAAATATAAATATTCCCAGAGCTTTTCGCCCCTGATTATCCATAACAAATATACATTTCCTTCACATATATAAGGGATGCCAATTCCTATTATTATATTTATCAATGGCTTTAGCTTTGTCTTTATGCATTTAATAAGATACTTAACCCCGAGGAAGATTCTAAAAACTATGATTCTGAAATATAGAAACCAATTGAGTAAAATTCCTTGTCCCCTTGCATCGCATTATGTTGATTAATAATGGTTGTGGAGGACACTGTTCTCACGAGCAATCTGATTCTAAAGACTTGCAGAATATTGCCTTTTTTTGCTTTGTTTTTAATTCCCAGAAGATCCCTTATAAGCTGGGCTTGGATTTCTGCTCTGTTTACACCCAGAGCAGCTCTGACGTAAGACTGGATGTCAGCCACTGACCGTGCCTGCTCGAGTTCATGGAGAGCTTCCAGTACCTTGCCTTAGGTCTTCCCTCCAGGGATCACCCAACTTGGGCTTTCTTTCTTTCTTTTTTTTTTTTTTCCAACTTGGTCTTTCAAACAAAGTAGGCTGACTCCAGAGCCCAGCACACAGCAGCCCCTTTACTTGTTCTCAGACTCTGGAATATAAATATAAATAGAAGTGGAAGCGTGCTGGGCTGGCTGAGAATGCCCCCGTCACGTGGCATGGGTCTGAAGTCTGCTGTTTCCTGGCTGGGGGACCTCAGGCAAGTTATATAACCACTCCAAGTCTCAGTGTAGTCCTCTGCAAAATGGGAATGTTAAGAATTCCTTCTTCATAAATTTGTTATAAGGCTTAAAAGAGAGAAGCCATGTAAACCATTTAGCAGAATGTCTGATACATGTAAGCGCTCAATATTTTAATAGTTATTTCGAAGAGAGGTAAACTACAGAAGTACACAAATCCCTATCTTTTATGTCTCTATAAACTTCTGCAGAAAAAAAAAAAAGTTCTTTTTTTTTTTTTTTAAAAAAAAGTTCTTGATGCTGAATAGGAATGTCATCATGCCTGAGATTGAGGCAGAAGTCAAATCCCATAGTTAGGCATAAGCACCCTTGTAAATTAAAAAAATAAGAAAGAAAGAAAGAAAGAAAGAAAGAAAGAAAGAAAGAAAGAAAGAAAGAAAGAAAGAAGGAAGGAAGGAAGGAAGGAAGGAAAGTGTTCTACAGCACCTTGCATACCCTGAGTATACTCACTCGTGAACTGGGACTGGCGGCCCCCAAGCCCGCACTGTCGCACTTTACATCCTCGGAAGAGCCCATAGTAAATATCCCCAATGAACTTGACCAGCTCTGGATCGGTGGCGTTGACCAGGTCCACTCCAGTCTGACAAAGGATTTTCCCACTCAGCCAGTGGGGCACTGTCAGGGCGACGATGATCAGGATAAAGGAGGAGAAGCTGAGTAAAGATGCCAGCCCATACCACGCCTTTTTGAACCATCCAGGCATTCTAGTGGGTGCAGGTCATCCCGCAGGTTTCCAGGCAGCAGCGAGAGTCACTGACATTCTCTGGACACTCTGCAATTGCCTGGTCCAGGGTCAGCTCTTCCAAACACACCATTTCGGGATCTCGAGTGCACCTCCTGGTCCCCCCTCAGTGCCTGCCTCCACAGCCCATGTTTACTACAAGCACATCCAGAAGTCTCTGCCGAGACCGCCTTCACCTGACTCAAGTGTAGAGGAGTGTGTTACCCAAGGAAGTAATCCTATAGCTCCCACTAGGCTACAGTTTCAGCAGAGGGTTTAATTGTTCCACGTTTCAGGTATTTAAATAACCCTGGCGTGGACCTCTTGATGGCCAGGAAGTCATTAGCAGGCAAAACTAGGTAGATCTGACTATAAAGAGACACTACTCTCAAAAAAATGCATACAATAGGAGGAAAAGGAGCACGTGATGATTAGCACTTGAATGCTTCCTACAATGCATGGTGTCAAATGTCTAGCTCCTGGCTGCGTGCCTGGGCATTTCTTTCTCTAAAATGTCACTGCTGTCAGAACCAGAACTGTTATTAATACCATGCTATGACCTCTGTTCTCAAGGCTTTTAATTGAAATGTGTAAACAAGGCTATATGATGCTTGGATTTATCACTGGGTGAATCTGCCGTGGGTAAAACTGCAGCAGTCATCAATTTGTGGCTGCTGGGGCAGCCTGGACCCCAACACTCAACACTCCTCTTCTCCAGCAGTATCCTCCCCCATCACCAGCTTTGTGTCATCTGAAGTGGGAAAGAAAAGCGTTTCTCTATTGTGTTCGCAGATAGTCCTACCTTGGGGGGGGAGGGGGCTTTACTTCTAATACTGAAGATTTGTTTCTTTTTCTTTTAATCTGTAGCTACTAAGAATGAAATCTTCCCTACTTTCTGCCCCCCCCTCCACTTTCTATCTTATACTGTGGCTTTTCGATTTTGACGTTTAATCTATTATGTCAAGTTAATGTCATGTGAGACCGGTAACAGCAACTCTCAATAGTTTTGGGGAGTCAAATTTGGCAGAAGTGGCACAGTAAAAGTTTTATTTGGTCACAGAGGTCTGGAGGTGCCATAGGTCTGGGTTCAGGAGTTTCCACTGTTAGCCAGCAGGAGTTCCAGAAACCTCACTTGGAGAGCAGCAAGGAGCCTGAGGAACATGTCAGTTTCCTTCCCTATAGTGGGGTTCACTTCTGTGGTCTCTCCACAATGAAAATAAACAAGAGTTTATTGAGTGTCTCTGAAGAGTGTCTCTGAAGCTTGTGTAGAGCTTTCCTTAGTACAAAGAGCTTAGCTTTTGCCATATGTTTGCTCTCCCCTGATGCAGCAGAAACCCTTTCTGGTAGGCAAGAGACATACTATTCTAATGACCTCTCTCATGAGAACTCTGGATGTCAGGGCTGGGGCTGGAGTTCAGGTCTTTGAAATACAACAGCTCATCTTCATCACAGTATCCTGAAATAGCAAATGTTTTTCTGGAGGTGAATGCATACAAAAGGCTGAGAAGAAGGGTTGGCATGTTAATACATGACCAATAATGTTATTTATTCTTATAGTAATGAAGGTCAGCTTTGGACCTGTGTAATACCTTTGCATTGTATTTCTGCCTCAGATGATGGACCTATGTCAACTTTTGGTATTTTAGAGATTGAGCAACTATTTTTAGAATAATTACTTTAGAAAAATATGGGAAACAAATGATTCCCAACAAGCTCTGGCAATGCTGAATGGAAGTGCGGTTAAGTAGGGCTCTATTAAAGATCTGGGTTAAAATTCCTATTTCTCTGGGCAAGTGCTTGAGACTCTCATGCTCAGTTTCCTAATCTGTCATGGGATTGATGGCATACAGAGGGCACCAAATAAATGGTGTTAACCTCCTCATCTGGTCTTCTAGCAATTCTGTTCCTGATAATGAAGCTTCTGATAATAGATTGTGTTGTGGGCTGCATCCGGTTCCCTAAGAACATATTTTTGTGTGCCTTATCTGGCACAGGTGTATTGAGCAAACATCTGTGTGTCTGCTTTGTACAACACTGTATGGTGGGAGGGTGACACAAAACATGTATAATATTGCCAAAACAGTGATACAAAAATTGTAGGATACTATACTTTAAATGTTTAACACTTCACAAATCAGTGCTTTTGAAACAACAACAATAAAACCACGAAAATTATGACAAGAGTTCTAAAAAATTTGACTACATGTGGGACACCAGGCCTTTGGTCTGGTAGAGACAGTTTAAGATGTAGGTCCTATAATAGTGTCCTTGGACCTCTGTGACTGTATATAAGACTCCATTTGACAAGAATGTTAAAGGCCCACAGTTAAGCCCCACCAAATGGTACCAACTGCCCCCACTAAAACAGCCTGGCATTTTCTTTCTCCCAAACTCACAATCTCTAAGAAGCGCAGTGATGTAACAGAAGTAGTGGCAAAGATAATAATATTAATAATGCTCAATCGGCATCTATTGAACTCCTACTACTAGCCACACACTGTTTTTAGTATCATTTTGAAAAATCCTTTCCAAAATCCTAGGAGGACAGACCTTTAGCATTCCCATTTTACCGAGAGGCGACTGAGGCACAGAGCCGCCAAGCAAGTTGTGTAGGGACACACAGCTATTAAACAGGGAGTCGAGCTTCAGAGGTTGCACTCTTATTTATTTATTTAATTTATTTTTTTAAAAAGATTTTATTCATTTATTCATGAGAGACACACACACACAGAGGCATAGACATAGGCAGGGGGAGAAGCAGGCTCCTCTCAGGGAGAGGATCCCCCGATGGGGGATTTGATCCCAGGCCTCCCCGCCCCGGGATCACGCCCAGAGCTAAAGGCCGACGCTCAAGCCGATGCTTCAGCTCAACCGCTGAGCCACCCAGGCGTCCCTTGCACTCTTATTTAAAGGCAAAATATATGCGTGGTTTGTGCCGTCAGCCCGACGGACTCTCGGCGTCGTGAGCGCACACCCGCTCTCCACCCTCCCCGGGGGCCCTTAGCTCCGCGCCCTGCAAGCCCCAGGTGCCGGGCACCTACAGGCGGGCGGGCGGGCGGGCGGCGGGGCTCGTCCGGCGGGACCGCGCGCTAGGCGGCAGCCGCGGGCCCGGCACAGGGCTGGCGGCCGCGCGATCCCTCTTGGCCAGTGGGCGGGGCCGGGGCGGGCCCGGTGGGCGGGGCCGGGCGACCCGGGGCGCTGCGCTCCGGCTCTGGGCGTTGGGCTTTCGGCGAGCCGGGCGGGAGCAGCGGGATGGCGGCGGCGGCGGGCGAGGCGCGCCGGGTGCTGGTGTACGGCGGCAGGGGCGCGCTGGGCTCCCGATGCGTGCAGGCGTTCCGGGCCCGCAACTGGGTAATTCGGCCTGGTCTCCGGCGGCTGGGGCGAGCGGCACGTTGGTGTTGGGTGGCAGGTGTGCACGCTGGTGATGGGGGAGCATCGGGGCCTGCCCGGGCACGCTGGGGCCCGTGTGCGCACCGGCCTGAGTGCTCGCGCGTGCATGCTCGGGTCTGCCGTGCCTGGCCCCGCGTGTGTGCCCACGCTGCGCCCGAGGTGCCGGGCCCTTGCTGTGCAAGGAGGTGGGGGATGGGGCTGCTCGCTCGGGCTCGGCCAGGCCCGGAGAGAATTCCAGAGCGCGACGGAGAGGAGCGGGCTTGAGACTCGGGGAGAGACAACGAGGAGGCGGCTCTGGGATCACACTGCCAGGCGCGGGCCACTATTGCGTAACGCCCTCGAATCTCACTTTCCTCATCCGTAAAATGGAGATAACGTTAGTATTTACCCCTTAGGGGATTGTGCGCCTTGAATGAGATCACTGGTGTGGTTGTAAAGCACCTGACTCGTGGTAAAAACTCTTTAAATGTCAGCCATGAGTATTACCATAATTACCCGGTTCCTTTAGTCCACTCTGGACCTGGTATTTTGAAGGCGTAGCCTCGCAAATGCTGGTGGCTTCTTGTTTTGCGAAGACTATTTCGACTACTTTGCATCGTCGGGTGTTGCTCCCTGTAGGGTGCAAGTAGGGGTGGCGCTGACCTCTGGCCCGAGACCCTCCCTGCGATCCTGGTGGAGACTCCGCCCTGTCTCTCCTCGCTGCAGCTGTCACTTGCACAAAATGTGCTGGAGCTCTGGGGAGCTTTGTCTCAGGGGTTTAGTTAGTAGCAGCAGGAACCAGGGAGACAGGGTCCCAGGGTTTCCTTCCAGCTCAGAACCTGATATAGGACTTCTAAGGGATTCTCAGCACACCACCGTCTTCCTGCTCTCAACAGGCGCCTTCCAGGCTCTGAGGGGTGACCGTGGGGAACTTGTAAGGAGTGTTGGCCAGGGGCGGGGCACCGTGTTCCTACATACTCTTAATTTCATTTACTCTTCTCCAAACTTGGATATAGCGGATCCTGTTGGTATCCATGTGTTACAGATATGAGGGCTGTGAGTTCCCCTGGTGGGGGCACTTGGTAAAATCTGGCAAGCTGATTTACCTCTGACTGTCCCCCCCCCCCTTCCCCTTCATTTCTAGGAGCTCTGGGAGGGGCTACAACCTGGTGTATGTGTCTGTGTCCCCTGTGGCTGGTGACATGGAAGTAGTGAGTGTTGTTGAATGGAATCTGTGTTCTTCAAAGCTTGTGGTAGAGATACTTATCTCCAGGGCCTGTGGACCTTGGGGCCCTGGGAACTTTCTTTTTTTTTTTTTTTTTAATTTTTATTTTTTAATTTTTTTATGATAGTCACACAGAGAGAGAGAGAGAGAGAGGCAGAGACACATGCAGAGGGAGAAGCAGGCTCCATGCACCGGGAGCCCGATGTGGGATTCGATCCCGGGTCTCCAGGATCGCGCCCTGGGCCAAAGGCAGGCGCCAAACCGCTGCGCCACCCAGGGATCCCAGGGGCCCTGGGAACTTTCTGAGAAAGAATTGGGTGTCACTTGTGCTAGGAGCTTTTTCAGTTAATTTTCACACTAGCCTTGTTAATTGTTAACCCCCATGAGA